AAAATTCGTCGTTCTTCAATAGGTTTTCTTACACGAGCAAAAATACGAACTTTAAAAATGACCGTGATTATTATAGCTGTATTTTTTGTTTGCTGGACACCATATTATGTCATGAGTCTCTGGTAAATGTTATTATTTTTTAGCATGTACTAATATATTATAAATAAATATTATGTATTTTATTATATTATTAATATATATTAATATTATATATTATTGGAACGATTATGTAGGTACTGGATTGATCGAAATTCAGCATATAAAATTGATCAACGAATCCAGAAAGGACTCTTTCTATTTGCTTGTACAAATTCTTGTATGAATCCTATTGTTTATGGTGCATTTAATATTAGAGATCGCAATAAGGTAAATCTTTTTATCTTTTGTTTAAAAAAATTAAATATCAATTAATTTATATGATTATTTCAGACATCTGCAAGACCAACAACTATAGAAACTAGAGTCACACCATTATCATTATCGCTCAAACTTCTTGATTAATGTTTGTTCATGTGTGAGATATTAACTGTATTCATAATATTAGATCTAGTCGTTATAATTTATCAAATTTGACTGTGATTATGATAAATTATATAATTAGGAAAAGAACAGTTTATTGATGAATGATTATTTAAAAAATTCATAAATAAACATTTATTTATTTAAATAATTAGCATAATAATAAAATATCTTTTCATATGAAATTTCATATGAATTTATAAACTGTATAATATAACAACATACATAATTTATAGTCAGAACAAATTAAACACAGAATTATTATAAATTCAAACACAGAATGTTATAAATATCTGTTTTATTTTTCAATACATAATTTTTGATAAAACATTACGTTTTTTTACATTATATAATAAGTAACTTTTTGCCTGAAAGTGTATTTTAAAAAATTAAAAACCATTACAAAACTATATCAGTAACATGCTCTCTTAAGAAGAATCAGTCGAAAATGGAAGCACACATTCTTACGTTACATTGATAATAAACGAAATGAACTTCAAAATAATTGAAACATTGTATATATTGCATTTAACCATACCTTAAATCGCGTATATATATGTGTGCAAATAGTTCATGAACCTTTACTTTGAATAGTCAGTACAAACATATAACGCAAATATGAACACAAATATTCGCGTATATAATTATTTATTAAATATTAATGTAAATATTTTCGAACGATATTCATAATCAATATAAGATGTATATATTTAGAAGAAATTTTAAATTAGTATTAGTATTTATAAAAATAATATATGCAGCTTTCTTTATTTTCAAAAATCATTACTTACGAATTAATGATAAACACAAATAAATGCTTCAATATATTTATCGTAAATATTCACGAACATTTTTTAAATATTTTGTGTGATCAATGAATATGCATAGTTCTTTTTTTATTTAAAAAAAATAAACATTATCTATTTAAAAAAGAAATAATTCTAACATCTTTATGCTATCTCTTAAGAAAAATGGTTAAACTAAAAATGAAATTAAATGTAAGCAAACTATAATATGAAAGATATATTCGATATTACAGACAATTGTGTAAAAAAATCATGAATATATTTTAATAAATTATATTATTATATTGAATCAAAATAGGTTTCATTGAAATTATAATAAATCAAATAGATTATTGATTCTATTAATGATCATAAATTATTAATGTTATAAATTGTATTTGAACACTTTGATTGTGAATAATAAAAAATAACTTCAAATTATATCAACATAACAGATGTGCTATTAATATTTTATAGCACTATTTTCTTTTTCATAGAGTTTTATTATTGTTATTATTGAAAATTATTATTATTATTTTTAAAAAAATTTATGTTGTAATTTTATGTTCTTATTCGCATTTTTAATTTTGCATAATTTAAATTTATGAGAAAAATAAAATATCATATATTTTAACTTAATTTATCATATAAAAAAAATTAATGCATAGGTAAAATTTTGCCAAAAATCTTTGATTCAGCATAAAACGTTTCATATGTAGCACCAGTACTTACGTTTCTTCACCATTGTGGATGAACTTGATGGAAAGACCACTGCTGATACGTATTATTGATATCACATGGCATTAATGATAATTGTTGAGTTTGAGGATGAAGTGCTATACACTTTTTGTGCACTCTATGTAAAAGTGTTTTTGTTTTCTACGAAAATTAATTATTTTTATAAAATATAAAATTCATAATGAAGTAAAAATTCAATAAAGAAATAATATATTTAATGATATTTACCTCATCATACTGCCATGGACCATCTACAGTCCCTAAGCGACAAAATACGAATTTCACTCCTTGATTATCAGCGGATATACAACGTTCTCCAACACCCAATTGGCCCTTTGCATTTAATCTAATTAACTGAAAAATATAAACCATAATTAATCATAATATTTATAATAATAGTTTATAAAATTAAAAAAGAATTGTTTAAAAATAATTTAAACTTACCTGATTGTTACCAAATCCATGGCAATCAGTTGTAGCCATTAAACTAGGAGGAGAATGACTCATTGTATCCAAACATGTTCCTGTTGCTACATTTCGTAACTAAAATTTAATAAAAAAGATAATATATAGTATTATATATAGAATGTATATTTTCGACTGAATTAATTGTATATTGATATAGATGCTAGCTAAGTATATACTAATATAAATATTTTCTTAATATTAATCAAAATAATAATTACAATAATAAAATAATGATAAAATATAATTGAAAACAATGAAATTATAGCTAATAAGATTGAACAAAATATACAATATTTTTAATATAAATATTATTTTTCTTACTTCTCCCCAGTGAATATTAGGTGGTAATTCAGGAAACTTATCAAAAACATCATAAGCTACATTTTCCATATACCATTGAAAGCTTTTACATCTTTTCCGTCTTTTAAATTCTAACTGTTCCGATATATCGCCATGATCAAGTAATTGCGCTAATGGTTCTCTTGTATAAAAGAACTCTTTGTATTTATCATCAAACCATGTTTCAACAACTCTCTTGTAGTTCTAGAAAGAAAAAAATTTATAACTTTTACATTCATTTTATATAATTATATATCATTTTATCAAAATACATTAATAATTATAATTCTTAAACATTAGAAAAATATTACTATGTAACATTTATTTAAGAATGAATGTATTTTACTTACTATAGTTATTAGTGGTCCTTTCTTTTTTTGTGCTAATTTACCAAATGTATAAGGCATAAAACCTCTATATACATGACCAACATGTGAACATGGTACCCAAAGAATGCTTCCTCCACATTGCCATATTTTAAACGAAAGTTCAAAATTCTCTCCACCCCATACAAGTAATCCATCATCATATCCACCCAATGACAAAAAATATTCACGATTTATCGCGAATAAGCCACCAGCGTGAGTAGGAGACCTAAATTGAGTGTTTTCCTAATACATGAATGTTAAATAATTTTGTTCTGTGCGTCTAAATATATTTTTTAAAACAAATTACTTGTACGGCATGCTGTTATAAGGTCGAGTTTTTTTCTCTCGTGCAGGAAGTTCATTTTCTTTATATAACATTCCCCATTCAAAAATACCTCGATACAAATGTCCTTCTTGATATACAGGTCGATATTCAAATGTCTTGTGATCAATACCATCAATAATGGGAACTGTCATTACAGTTCTAAAATTTAACAAATGTGATTAATTTTTTTTATGAAATTTATAAATAATAACATATTCTATCCAAAGAGAAAAGTAAGCGTTTTGTAGAATTTTAAATTTAAATATTATATTAGATTGATATTATATTGATATTAGATTGAAATACAGAAAAATAACATTTGTATTAAATCCTTAACATTTTAAATCTTTTCTTGCATCTACCTTACTTGAAGAATGCAGTAAAGAATATTTTTGTTTTTCTAATAAAAATTTTCCTTCTAGCAATTATTGTGAGCCATCATTGGTCCACTGCGAATGGACCATGTTCATAAACTCTTTCTTTCACTATTTCTTTGAATTTTTGAATTATATATTTATAATTTTAACTGTTAAAAGAATATTATCAAAGATAAAGATATCATAATACGCTACTTTTCAGTATGGAAATTATTCAATAAAAGAAAAATTACCTATCAGCAGCTATGGGAGTTAAAAGAGGTGGTAACCAATTAATATTAACTTCACAATGTGCATCTAAAAATACTATAACTTCGCCCTTAGCTTCACGTGCGCCACGTGATCTTGTTCTTATTAAACCTTCTCTTTTATCATTTCTTATTAATTTAACTTTATCTCCCCATCGTTCAATATAAGATTCTAGTTCTCCCTTTAAATTATCTATAAAAATATAAATATATTTCATTAATAAATATATTTTATATATATATATATATAAATTTATATTATAATCTTATATATAATTTTTCTCAATAATACTGCATGAAATTTTTTATTATTTCTAATTTAAATAATTTAATTTATTTAATATTTTTTACAATTAATAGATTTAATATTTTTATTATATTATTATGACATTCACCTTTATCAGAAAAGTCATCTACAAGCAAAATTTCTTCCAAAAATTGTGGCGGAGTACGATTTATAACACTGTGAACAGTTCTCATTAGTACAGACCAGCCTTCATTGTGAAATACAATAATTACACTAGTTCTAGGTAGTATTTCTGGATAATTCCAATGTTTACATCTATAAATAAAATAAATGAATATAATATTTATAATATATTTATCATATATTTATCATGGTATCTAATTAGAATATATTACTAATAATATATTATTTTTTTTTTATGTAATTACATTCTAAAATTTGTTAACTTTCATATTAAAAAAATTATTTTTATTATTTATTTGAGGTATTAATTATAATATATTTATTTTATCAAAATATTATTTAAATTTTAGAATTTAATTTAAATAATATTATAAAATTATTGATTAAAAAATAGAAAACAATATTGACTTACTCAGGCATTCTAGTATCAGGAATTAATCTATCTAATGAAATTTCATCAGAGCATACCATATTCATACCATAATCTATTTCTGATTGTTGAACATCATTCTGTTGATCATCCCTAAGAATATGAGGTTTACCTTTTTCTCCAGGACCACTTCTCATTGATATATGTTTTGGTTCAAAGTTACCAAGTTCCTTTGATAGAATTGGAACCTACAAAAATTTATAATATGTTATGGAAATATAATATTTATTATAACATATTATATATTTAAATTATTAATAATAAAAATAAAAAGTTACATATTAACATTAATTTTTATAATTTCTGAATAAAATTATTTTTTTATAAAATCTATCTAATTTAATGATGAAATATATAAATCTTATGTTTTAAGAATTTTATTTGATACAAAATTATAATATATTATTAAAAATTATAATATATTTACCTGTTTATCTTTTAAACCATCAGACCAATATATTTTTAAATTATTGATAGGTTTGTCAGAAAAATAGTTTACAACAATATATAATGTGTAAAGAACAAATATAGTGCAAATAATAATACTGAAAAGACGATTTCGCTTTAATTGTACAATTCTCATTTTGTTTAAGATAATTACACCTAAAATAAAAATTAAGCGATTATATTATTATTAAAAAATTTAATATATTAATTATATAATTAAAACATACTTTATATTTAAAATAAAGAATATGAATATGCAATAAAATTGGTTAAACATTAATAACAAATGAATAAAGATAAAAATGAATGTAAAAAAAATGTATAATAAATAAGTAATTTATATCATCCATATGCAATCAAAATATTGAAATATTAAAATAATAAACAATTTTATTTATAAAGAAAAGCAAATATCAATTACCTTAAATAAAAATGCATAGACTATGAAATAATATATATTTCAGCAAATTAATTTTTTAAATGTATTATAATAATATTAAAAATTATATCATAATGAACAGAACCATTATTTAAAAAATCTGAAGCTACGTTGCTTCACACCACAGCCAACGTGTCTTTTGCACACACTCAGGTACTTCTAATCTACATATAGGTAAGTATCTATATTTTATCTATATTTATCTATATTTTATAACTTTCATGCACTTATCTATATATTATCTATATTTTTAACTTTCATTCAAACATGTGTTCGACATTTTTATATTTCAATTTAAAAATTATTTATCGTAATAATATTATTTAATCTTCAACATTATTATACAAATTTGGCAAAAAAAAAAACACCATTCAATTATAATCATTTAATTCGATGCCATAAAAAATAAATTTATTTTTTGATTGAGAATATATTTATTTTTTTTCATTGTTTACAAGTAAATTGTTTACAATTTTAATTCATATTTTATATCGTTATGTACATTGTTATATTTTTAATAAATATCGAAAAATGATATATAAATAATTTATATTATTTTATATAATTGAAATTGACGCAGTCATATAATTTAATTTTTAAAATAAATAAAAATATGATTTTTATAAATAAACATTAAGTTTGAGTAGACATTAAGAAGCGAAACAATTTTTATTCAATTATTTAAATTTGATTTTATTATAAGTATTATATACATATTATTTATA